GACATTACGCTATACAGAGTCATTTAAACACTAGCTCTAAAGTGATGTTGTGAATTAGTAATGTAATGTAATGTGTATTTATATATTGCATTTATTGTGTATGGCCATACACCCAAAGCGCTTCACAATCATGAGGGGGGGTCTCTCCACACCACCACCAGTGTGCAGCATCCACTTGGATGATGCGACGGCTGCCACAGGACAACGGCGCCAGTGCGCTCACCACACACCAGCTATTGGTGGAGTGGAGGGACAGTGATAGAGCCAATTCAGTAGAGAGGGGATGATTGGGAGGCCATGATCTTAAGGGCCGATAGAGGGACTTTGGCCAGGACACCGGGGTTACACCCCTGCTCTTTCACGAGAAGTGCCTTGGGATTTTTAATGACCACAGAGAGTCAGGACCTCGGTTTAACGTCTCATCCGAAAGACGGCGCACACTGACAGTGTAGTGTCCCCTTCACTTTTACTGGGGCATTAGGACTCACACAGACCACAGGTTGAGCGCCCCCTGCTGGCCTTACTAACACCATTTCCAACAGCAACCTAGTGTTCCCTAGTGGCCTCCCATCCAGGTACTGACCAGGCTCAGCCCTGCTTAGCTTCAGTGAGTAACCGGTCTTGGGCTGCAGGGTGACATGGCTGTAACGGCTTCTAGTAACGGCTTCTAGTAACGGCTTCTACTGTTTTGACGACAGCTGCAGTTGTGAATGAATGGCGGAAGAAAGTAGTTCCTAATAAAAAGAGGTTTTTAGACTCTCAAGTGTTTAATTTTCTTATGTATATATACGATTGTGCTGTCAAACTGTTGTATAAACATCAGCACTGGTGGGACATTAAGGCACCTTGGCCTGTGGCCTCGTGCCAATGCACGCCTCCCATATATATACAACCATATCTCACTGCTACTCATGTGATATTGCTCATATATATATATATATATAATATACATACATATACTGGTTCACTGAAACAGTCCTAAAATTTATATTTATGGGTATTTTTAATTTATAACTTCTATAAACTTATAATGCATATGATTTGTATATAATACCTCTCCAATCCAGTATGAATATGAGTCTTCCATAATACACACACTTATTAATTATTTCTACTTGTATTCCTTGTGATGAAGAGTAGGCAAAATCTGATATGTAGTGGGGGAAAAAAAGAATGAGGTTCATGATAGATCGTGTCAAAACATGTTGCCTTGCACTTTAAGAGCTACGCTGTTACACTTTTTTATGTTTTTAAATTTTTCTGTTCATTTAGTTTCTTGTAAGAAATATATTTACCAACATTTGTTTCCAGTTTTTTCACATTTTTTTAATTTACACTACATTTTTTTACTATTTTTGACATTTATTTTAAACCACAGTTTTTCAGTATTTTACAAAACAAAATGTGTATGGTCCTATATAAACAGTATGAAAAATAACAAAAAACATCAGTGTGTGCAAATAAAAAAGAACATAAAGTCCAACATAAAGAGCAAAATTTACTCTGAAATAAGCTGAGGCTTTAGAAAATAATGTTCTTGAGACGCATTACATTTGCACTGGGCTTCAGTCCATCAAGTTCAAGAAACTTTACAAGTATATTTAAGTTACTTGAGGTAACTTAGATTCAGAGCATATATTATGCCCATCAGCAGAGCACAGCACCTTGAGATATCCATTTATGATTCTCATGCATTCAACCATGATTGTTTCTGCCTTGTGGTTCAATTCCAAAGTAGACTGATCACCAATGATGGCAAATATCATCACTTTCCTTTCAAGTTTCAACCTCCTTAAATTCTTTTGTATTCTTGTAAAGCAAAAAACAAAAAACAAAAAAAACTTTTGAGTCAAAAAACACTGCTAACACCAACTGTATTTACGAGGAGGAGTAGCCAACACTCTAGTGGAATGGAGAAAATTCATTCATTCATTCATTCATTCATTCATTCATTCATTCATTCATTTTCTTGTCGGCTTAGTCCCTTTATTAATCCGGGGTTGCCACAGCGGAATGAACCGCCAACTTATCCAGCAAGTTTTTACGCAGTGGATGCCCTTCCAGCCGCAACCCATCTTTGGGAACATGGAGAAAATTGATATGGAAATTTCTTTGGGTTGCTACAAGTTAAATGTTGTTTCAAACTATTGACAGACACATTTATCTTTAAATTAGCTGCATTTTTGTAATATTTAGTTTTATTTAACATTTTAATTAGATATTTAACAAAAACAGTACAATACCAATAAAAAGAAGAAAGTCAGTGTCAAAGAAGCAAGTCAGTTTTTTACAAAGTCAGTGTCATGATTATGTGGGTTAGAGCTGAAAATTTACAAAGGTAAAATGCTAGATTCCCAAGAGTCTTAAAATGGGTCCCTATGTGGTTTCAGCTTTTTCTGTGAAGTTTCAAGACTTAGTCGTTCGATTTGAATGACACAAAACATCACATTTAACCATCTCTTAAAACAGGGAGCATTTGGAGATTTCCAATTAAGTAAGATCATCTTTTTAACTGTAATTATGCCAACCATAAGGGCTTGCTGTTGGGTTAATGAAAAGGTGTCCATTATATTTGAATATCCAAAAGAAGCCAAATTGAAGTCAGGTTGGACATGGGTTTTATAAGTTTTATGTGCTAAAGTCCCCTCTGCCCCACCATGTCGCATTTAGGAGATACATAGGGAAATCTTTTACTAAATCTAGTTTTAGAGAAATTAAGGCGATGTAAAACTACTCGAACTTCTTCTTCATATAATCCATGGCTCAAGCTGTCTTAATATGCCTAGTGCATATTGGAGCCTCAAAAACACAAACAAAGCTTGATATCAGATGTCTAGTATTAGGGTTAAGGGTTAAAAAATATGACTTTCTGGTTTGTTTATAAATTGTGAGATATTTTCCTTTACATAGTTTCTAATCTGCAGATAGCGAAAGAAATGAGACTGCGGGAGAGAAAACTTATTCTTCAGCTGTGTAAAGGATGCAAATTTATTGTCTATGTTAAGATCTCCTATGCGAAATAGCCCTTTTCCTTTTCCTGTTGTAAAAGTATTGTCAATCAGGAACGATTTAAATGAAGGATTGTGTGAAGTTGGCGTATTGACTGAAACCTTAGGTAATTTGTAAAAGTTATTTATCTGCTTTAAATCCTTAACAAATTCCTTACCACAGAATTACAACTTCCTCTTTTTTAAAATTAGTCGCATTTTTTAGTTGATGTCATTATCAATATTTTCCTGTTGTAAAGAGTTTCAACAATGGAATAAACTATGTACTGGTAACAGACGTCTTGAGTTATTTTTTAGAGTGTAGGTTTGGGCTATATATTTCAACCTCTAAGTCATTGTGCCAAAACATGCTCTCCATTCATATTGATGGAAGGATGAACTTATGAAACTAAAAATAAAATGATAAATATGTGGTATTTCATGACTTAATGCTTTCAGGAATTTAGTTCACATACTTTTATTCTGTTCAGAATCATTTGGCAACATTTCCAAAAAATGGGAACGGGCACTTGTCACAGAGGGGACGGGACTCAGGTAAGTAAGTGACATTTTAGTTTATTGTGTAGGATGGCAGTAATAAGCAGGAGAGCATGCAGGTAATGAGGATAATCCGGGAGTATGAATGTAGATGATGGAAACCAGGTTATAATCTATTGCAGGATAATAATAGATACAGCAACGATGAAAAAAACAAAAACAATAATCAGACGAGGAACCAGGAAGACACAGCACTAGGAACAAAGACGAGGAAACAATGAAGATCACAGGAGACAAGGAAGGATTTTAACATATCTAAGCCTTTCAACACTGAAGGGTTTGTCCTTTCTTTCTAGCAATGAGGCTGGATGCCAATTGAACTGTGTGAAGGGACTGTATGGTGAAGGGGCTGATGACGTTGAAACATATCTGTCAACACTCCAGTTTTTTCCTGGGAGTCTCTCGTATTTCAGACCCATCTCCCACCACTCTCTCATTTTGTTATTTTCCTGGAAAGCTCCCGTAATTTCACCCCAGCCCCGGTCCCTAGCTTTTTGGTCCAGTCTATAATACCCTTTGATCCCAGACTTTGGTAGAGTATCCGATCGCAGTGGTTGCCTAAAACCCGGTGCATAGTACAGTTACAAAGCTTATTTTGTACTTTTTTGACACCTCACCCCTGACACCTAGACATTTGGGTGATGGTGATCTGGGTGTCTGAATGGGGGGAGAACCTGGTCTGACTGTGACAACACTTTTTCCATCTCAAAATCTGAGCCACTGTGTCACCCACAAAATAAATACATTAAAAAGTTCAGGCTGGCATGGTGGCTCGGTGGTTAACACTGTCACCCCACAGCAAGAAGGTCACTGGTTCGAGTCCAAGCTGGGTTAGTTGGCATTTCTGTGTGGAGTTTGCATGTTCTCCCCATGTTAGTGTGGGTTTCCTCCGGTTGCTCCGGTTTCCCCCACAGTCCAAAGACATGCGCTATTGGGGAATTGAAGAAACTAAATTAGCTGCAGTGTATGTGTTTGCATGGGTGTTTACTAGTACTGGGTTGCAGCTGGAAAAGTATCCATTGTGTAAAATATAAGCAGGATAAGTTATCAGTTCAAATTAATCGCCCTCTTGTCAATTTTTTTTTTTTTTTAAATAGTTTTCAAATATTTTCCAAGGGATGTTTAACTGACAAAGGAAATGTTTAAAGTATCTCCTATAAAATGTATTATAACATTTTCTTCTGGAGAAAGTCTTATTTCTTTTACTTTGGCTGGAATAAAAGAAAAAACAAATACGAATATGGAATCAAATCTATGGTAATAGAGTTTCATCTTTCTTCAAAAGATAATTTGGTCAACAGCGGAAAAAAGTCAAACAGGTTAAGTACATGATGACAGTTTTCCATTTTAGGTAAACTTCCCCTTTAAGGTTAAACTTCCTTCCTTAATATTTTACATACCTTTCACCTTTTCACATCACAGATTCTTTTATCAAGCCTTCACCCATAACAGAGCTCACAGTCACAAGTCATGGAAGGAATCTTGCTTCTGCCATGTATGTAATGTTTTTTGAATAAATTTTTCTGTTTCATGTTTTATTCTTGTGCAGTTAGATCTCTAAAATTTGAAATGTTATTTGTTGCTGATTTTATATGTGGCTAACTTATTTTAAGGTTAATGTTTGTGTAGTTCATGTGTGCTCTGTGTACTGCTCATTTTAAAATAGTCTCTCCTTCCCCAGTGCTTGCTCTTCTTCTGCTTATGTTCCTGCGGAGGAAAAGCAACTCCAAAAAGGAACCCCTCCTTCCAGAAGATGATGTACGGGACAACATCTACTATTATGATGAGGAAGGCGGTGGAGAAGATGATCTGGTTTGTTTTAATTTTAAAACTGAAAATTTACAGTCATCGTCTAAAACTTAATATTGGAGGCAAATCTTGTCTGCAGCATATCAGCTCCACAACTATTATTTTTTATTACACTACAAATGTGTTAAGCCATATCAAATAAATGGATGATGCAGAGAAAACACTGAAGCTCCAAAATACTTGCTTATGAAAATGATTGCATTTATACATGGATCTAATATGATCTAATATCAGGGTTCCCACGGGTCATGGAATTTCTGAAACCTCATGGAATTTAAGGTTTATTCCACACATTATTTATTTTTGTACAGGTAATAGAATGCCAGGAGTTTGTTATTCATTTATAATTTTACTTTCCATTTACCAAAATGTTATTTTTCTAGTAAATGCTTTTTTTTTTTTTGATAGTGTAGCCAATATTAGATAGCATAAATCGTTGCTCACCAAATTGAAAATGTATCTAATTAGGTTGCGAGCCAATTACTGTTTAGGTTTGACCTTTTTTTTGACTCTGCAACAGTATCTATTATTTTTTATCTGCAACAGTATCTATTACTAAAAATTATTATTTTTATATATAGTATCTAGTATTTTGTGTCAAAATATCATTGTTGTATTAAGCACATTGATGTAAATAGGGCAATTACATTTTAAAACTAATAAAATTAATATTTTTAGTCATGGCAAAAATCAGGGAGTTTGACATTTGGCTTGGGGCGAAAACCCTGTAATCTGCTTAATGTAACGGTTTCCCAACAGTTGACATTCACAGATGGCCGTTTATATAAAAAGGTATTTGTTTTTAAAATGCCATTTTAGAAACATAAGTTTCCTTGTCTAGACTATCTTTTTATTGCATCTCAGAACGATGATCTCCGCACACAGTATGTAGCCTAACATGCATAACCATTCACACTCACTGCGTTTTCAATATGCTCCAATACTGTCAAAGATGCTAGAGTAGTGTGGATGCCAGATTAAAACAGAAATGCATTAGTGTAGACAGCACCTAAAACATCTGAGAATTATTTGACAAATCCCATTTCTTTTAATTGCAAAATTAACTTCTGGCTCATTTGGTTCTTCAAACAAGTTAGCAAATCATTAAAACATCTGGATGTATTTACCTGAGGTGATTGCATGTGCTTTTTTATTTTGAAGGACAAATCTATTTGGGATATAACAATTTGCTGAGTCAGTTGAAAATTTATTGAAATATATGATGATTAAAACCGATAGAAATATTGAATGAATTGCAGTACATGTTTTGAACAGAGAGGACAAGCTTACCGGCACAAGCTCACTTTACCTATACATCAGCGGCGAGCAAGAGGTGGGGGGTAAAATGACAGCGGTGAAGTGCACCTGACAAAATGCAAACTGTGAACACTGCAAAATGTAGTTTTACTTTCACCAAACAGAACATTAAATATGATGCACATAAACCATCAGCACAGTGAAAAACTATTAATAAGCTAAACCATGCGGATGGGATGATTTGCAGCTCCGCTTGCTCTGATGAGTGCTAGAGAGATCAAACTGTGTATCAGTGTTTTCATATCAAAAGGGTAAAGATCTTTTTCAGACTGAAAGAAAAGGTTATTCTGTTACAGAAGCAGGCATTAAATTATTTTAACATCTTCTTTTCAAATTAGTTTTTTTGCATGTTTTAATAATTTATTAATTATTAACGAATATTTAAAATGTTCAAGATTATCTCTTCTTAAGTCTATCACACTGATATTTAATAATTATACAAGTAATATTAATTATTCACCTTAATAATCAAGTTCAACTCATGTCTTTGTCCTACTATATTATTGGTAATTTTATAAGCAGTATTTTATGCCAGTGGCCAGTTCATTGGATCAGAGGGCCTACTGACAACCTCTGTTCACACTGCTCTCTGGTTTAGGAATGGCTTACCTCTCCACACCAGCCACATCTCAGTCCCAGTAAAAGGGTAAAAAGCAGGGGATTTTGTAAATGTGAAAACACCTCTGTTTGTGCCAGAACACATAGATATGCTGTTTATTTCTTTTTCAAAATGTAAAATCCAAGCACAGTCACAGTTTTTGTTTGTTTATATTGATATTCTTATTGATATTTTGTTTATACTATATCTTCTTTAGTTTTTATTTTATTTAATAATTATTCTTTTTTTATAGCAATTTAGTAATTGCAGAAAATGTATTATTTTGAAAAAAAAGTGCAGCATTTAAGAAAAAAATGAAAGGGCTCTTCACCTTAAATTTGTTTCAAATAATTTTGTTTGAGAAATCGTGACTGAATTGTGAGATCAGGTTAATTGTTACATCCCTAGAATCTATCAATCTTTAGTTATGGCAATGCAGCCTGCATATTTGTTTATACATGTTTCTAGCAAAAAATGTATTTGTTCACGAATATATAGGCCATGTCTACACACTCTTGGAAATGGAGGTACTCTTTACCTATCAACATACACGTTTGTACCTGAAAGGTCTATATTTGTAGTAGCTAACTGGGTCATCAACATTTCGAAGGATGGACTTTAAGCTTACTTCACTAACAGTTAAATTAGATTTGTATCATTTTATGCAAAGGCGATTGTAAAAGTTAATACCAGCTGTATTTTTATTTATTTATTTATTTATTTATTTATTTATTTATTTATTTATTTATTTATTTACTTATTTATTTATTATTTTTTAGTCTCTTACTAGACTAAAACTGAATGAGCTATATGCAGAAGTGTTTTTTAGCCACTGATACACTTCCAGTGTAGAGTTAATGTGATTTTTAATCTTATACAGTTCCTTTTTACAGCATAGATATTGTAATTTAATTAAAACATAGTCTGCTAAATAGACTTAAACATTCTTCTAATTTAAGTGTAAAATTTGAATGTGTTTAAATGCAAGTGGCACCATGAGCAGTGCAAAAACTCTATAGAAAATTGTGTGGTAAAATAAATTTCTATAATTTCAAAGACAATTGAGTTTAATGCAATGCATCTGCATTAATGCAGTGCATCTGGTGTGAGCTCACTTTATCTTCCATCTCAATCATGCAGTAAAGATCATTGATTCCTAAATGTGGTGAGTTTATACAAACTGAAAATTCACCAGAAGTGCCTAAGCAGGCTTATTCATAATTAAGTCCCCATACATATAGCCCATTAGGGATAATTAAAATATATTAAAGGGATAGTTCACCCAAAAATAGAAATCACCATTTACCTTTCCCAAACCTGTTTTTTTTATTTTTATTTTTTTATGAAACAATACATTTTCAACAAAGCTGGAAAGCAATAACCATTGTCCTTCATGGTAATTGTTTTTGCTACCCTGGTTGTCAATTATGGGTCTTCAGTTTATATTTTACTGGAGTCATGCGCACTTTTTGTGTAGTTGGAATCAATTATAAATTTCTATGAACTCATTTTTTTTTCTTTAGCATGATGACTGTAAACAGTATTTTCCAGTTATTTTGTAAGATGTTATTAGTTAAATAAGGAACTTTGTCAAGGCATTAGACAACAGTGGTTTGGTGATACTGTAATTATATTGGCCTTTCAAATATATATATATATTTTTAAACTGCTTTTTTTTCCAGTCAAACCACGATAAAAATATATAATTAAAGTAAAATATTATAGGAAATTCTGGCTAATTGTTTTACCTTCAATTTTACTTGATGATGCAGAGCACTTTTAAAATCTTAGTGCTTTTATAATGCAAAATTGATTTAATTAGTCAGTTGTATATAGTTGGTTTCTTCTTTGCAGTTTGAAATGTATAACACACTTTCTGCACAGGACTTTGATTTGAGTGTGCTGCACCGAGGCCTGGACAACAGACCAGAAGTGTTTAGGAATGATGTGGCGCCCACTTTCATGCCTGCACCTCAGTACAGACCTCGACCGGCCAACCCTGAGGAGATCGGCACATTCATTGATGATGTAAGGGAAATGTTATTTTAATAAAACTCGATGATTAAGTTGTAATTCTGTTTCATTTAATAATTCATTATGTAATGTATTTGTTGTTTGAACTGTAGAACCTGAAGGCTGCAGATAACGACCCCACAGCTCCTCCCTACGACTCTCTGCTGGTGTTTGACTATGAAGGAGGAGGATCAGATGCAGGTTCACTCAGCTCCCTTAACACTTCCAGCTCAGGAAACGACCAAGACTATGACTTCCTCAATGAGTGGGGCCCACGCTTCAAGAAGCTAGCAGACATGTATGGAGGAGGAGAGGATCAAGAGGAAGTTTTTTTTGGTTCAAAAGGCTTAATGATTTAAGTGCAAAATATGACACTCTTTTATAGTTCACTTTATGGTGTGGAAAGTCTTAAAGTTTGAACTAAAATGACAGCACTGTTCATACAACATAAAGAAAAGATCATTTGACTTGAAGTTTTTTCTTTTTATGGGAGCAGTCTGGACAGGAACTTTTTTCACCGTAAATGAAACTCCCAAGCAAAGAGACATTTGATATTTGTTGCGATGGCTCAGTCGGAAGATGGTGTGTTACATCTTTAAGAAGTTTGTCCAGAATGTATTTCATGTAATGATTTTGCAAAACTTTTAGCTATTTTAAATTTCAGTACTCTGGCATTAAAGAAAAATCTAAGGCTCATAACATTGATGATTTTTTTTTTTTTTTACTTTTTGTATATTTGCAGGTTTCTATTTCTGTCCATTTTTCCCTCAGCTGCAACAATGTTAATGATAAATGTGTATGTTTCTTTTTTTATGGTCATGCTTTAGGTAAGTTTTACATTGCATATTTTATTAAACAAGAAGCTTTTTTATTTTTTACACCACACTTCAGCTTGGGTTATATGAACATTTAAAGGAAAAACTGAGCACAAAACAGTTTATCAAATGTTTTTTTTTGACTATATACAGTGACTATATACAGTTCAATTTTGACTATATACAGTTCAAGCTTATTTGTCTAGCACTTTCCACAATTATTGTTCCAAAGCAGCTTTATGAGATTTTAGATTAGATTAGAGTCAACTTTATTGTCATTACACATGTACAAGTAAAGTAAAAGGCAACAAGATGCAGTTTAGGTCTGCAGTGCAAAAGCAGGAAGTGCGGGATACAGGTATAAGTTATAAAGTGCAGTTATAGAAAAACTATGGTGATATTTACAGATGGATGTATTATGACCATTATATACAGCCTGTATTAGCTATAAACAGAGATTTACAATAGATGAATATTCTGTATGTATAGGTTGCTATTAAAATCAGAAGTGTGCAGATAGATAAACATAATTAAAATGTATATGTACATTGATTTGTACATAATTACAAATGTCCATGTGCGGTGGGTATGTACAGTTCAAATAAATGAATCAGTGCAATGAGTATGTACATTTTTTGTGTATTTTTTGTTTAAAATTTGCAAATGTTAAACAGTGCAGTGACTGTGAGAAGTATAAGTTAGAGGAGAGTGGGGGTGTATTGGGGGTCAAAAGAGTCAGTGAGGGGCAGAGTTCAAAAGGGAGACAGCTTTGTGGAAAAAGCTGTTCCTATGTCTGCAGGTTTTTGTCTGGGGGAGCCTGAAGCACCTGCCGAAAGGCAGGAAAGTCTGTGAGCAGGGTGTGAGGAATCCTTAAGAATACTGCGTGCTTGGCGCAGACAATGCTTTTTCTGGAATACCTCAATGGCTGGCAGTGTGGTCCCTGTGATGCGTTGGGCAGTTTTCACCACCGGCTGCAGTGCCTTACGCTCTGCAACAGAGCAGCTTCCATACCAGACTGTGACGCAGTTGGTCAGGATGCTCTCTATTGTGCAGCAGTAGAAGTTCACCAAGATGAAAGCTGATGAAAGCTGGTATGTTTTAAGTTGCCTTAGGAAAAAGAGACACTGGAGAGCCCTCTTGACCAGGCTGGAGATATTGGTGGTCCAGGAAAGGTCCTTTGAGATGTGGGTCCCCAAAAACTTGAAGGATCAGACAGGCTCAATGGCCATCCCATTGTCGGTGCAGCAAGTGGCCAGATGCTGTATCTCCTCCCTGTGGTCTCATCATTATTGCTGAATACACCAATTACTGTGGTGTCATCTGCAAATTTGATGATGGTGTTGGATCTGTTCATAGGCCTACAGTCGATGGTAAAAATGGAGTAGAGGAAAGAGCTCAGCTCACAGCCCTGTAATACACCAGTGTTGAGTATGACAGTGGTGGAGCAGATGTGGCCTGATCTAACATTCTGAGGTCTGTTAGTCAGAAAGTCCATAATCCAGTTGCAGAGAGACGTGTCAATATCTAGGTCTCTAAGTTTGATCATTAACGTAGAGGGTATGACAGTGTTGAATATTAGGCTGAAGTCAACAAACAGCATTCGTGCATAAGTGTTTTTATTGTCTGGGTGTGTGAGAACAGAGTATAGTGCTATGGAGACTGCATTGTCTGTGCTCCTGTTGCCATGGTAGGCAAACTTATATGGTTCCAGTGTGGATGGCAGAGAGTCTTTCAAATGTGACAGGACCAACTGCTCGAAGAACTTCATGATGATGGGTGTGAGTGCTACAGGGCAATAGTCATTAAAGCATGTTGGGCTGGAGTGTTTTGGCACTGGCACAATAGAGGTGGTTTTAAAGCATGTTGGCACAGCTGCTACGTTAAGCGACAGGTTGAAAATGCCTGTGAATACCCCAGCGAGCTGTTCTGCACATGCTTTGAGGGCGCGCCCAGGAATACTGTCTGGTCTAGCAGCCTTACGTACATTGATTCGACCTAGTGCGGTGTAGACTTCTGAGAAGTTGAGTGTGATAGGTAAGTGGTCAGTTCAGGAGGTGATCCTAGTGTAGGGTTCTGTATTGTCTCTTTCAAAGTGGACATAAAAGTAATTTAACTTGTTCAGGAAGGAGACATTTGTGGCTGTGGGTGTGGACTGGCTGGATTTGTAGTTGGTGTCTAGCTTTAGCTTGTAACAGTGCTTGGCCTTTTTGATGCCCCTCTTTAGATTAGCCCTGGAAATGCTGTAGGGCTGTGCATCCCCTGATCTGAAGGTAGTGTTGCGTGCCTTCAGCAAGAGGCGCACCTCCATGTTCATCCATGGCTTTTGATTTGGGTATGTGGTGATTTGCTTCTGTATTGGCTGTAACACTGTCTATGGTGGTGTTGATGTATTCCAGAACAGTGAAAGTGTAACTGTCAATAGTTACGTTTCCATTATCATGCCTTAAGCGAGCGAGCCAGGGCGAGCCAAGGCTAGTAAAATTTCCACTGTCACTTCCGGGGCCTAATTGGGCCTAAGCGAGCCTTCCGGGGCCAACGGTCAGCGTTTTTTGGCCCACTGAATACCTTGGGCCAAAGAGGGCCAGCTGGGGCTTCGGGGCGGAGTGAAAGGAGAGGCGGACACTAGTTTTTGCACATGATTACATGCAATAAACAAATAAACAAATAAATAAATTAGGGAAAGAAAACATCTAGCCTTATAGGCTGGCTTCTTTTTGCTTATAATCGCCCTTATGTTTCCCTTTCAAATGTAAGGCTGTTGCATAAAATAATTAAGTTCTAATTTATAATTGACATTCTTTACTGCATCCTCCTAGATGTTTCAATAAAGCATAATAATCTTTACACCACATTAAAGACACTGCAGACAGTAGGGGTTTTTCAAGAGTTTATGTCAAGTTTAAAAGGTGTGTTTGTGAGTGTGAATGTGAGACCTAGCAAAAGATTTCACCCTTCACAGCTCTGTTGATGCCGCGAGCGGCTTTTTTCTTTTCGATTTTTATTTTGGAGATAAAACACACTATGAATACAACAGAGAGACATAAAACTTTACAAATTACGTGTCCATTTTTGTAGACTCAAAACAATAGTGTCATATCACGATAAAATAGCCTAAGCTATATTGAAATAATTTAAATAATAAATATCGGATATAATAAAATCGCATTAAATGGACTTCCGGGTGATGCCATCTGAGTGCAAAATGCATGTGAAAACAGCTCCACAACTTTCAAGATATTGGCGAGCTAAACTAACCAATACTTTGTTGCCACATAACTGTGTTTAATATATTCAACTAAGATGCCAAACAAGCATAAAAAAAAAAAACAGTGCAGACAACTGAAACCCCGAGGGGCATACAAGTTCATTGCAGCGATGAGATTAGCACAGAGGCTAACAACGCAGTTCTAGAAGGGATTGCTTCACTACAATCAAACTTTGTACTATTCAAGTCAAAAATAGTCAAAGCTATAGAATTATAAAAATCTATAAAAAAAAAAAAAGCTATAATAATTTTTATTAGTTCTCGATCTCCATCAGAGCAGAATTAACGGCTACAAAGAAAAAAAGTGGTCATCACAATTTTCACCATGAAATGTACTATGAGCGAGCAAGCTAAAACAATCGCTGAACTTGAAAGCGGTGCAACTTTTTCTTTTGATGCGGTTTCTCAATTACAAAAAGAGGTTAAGAAGGTAGCAAGCAGCTTGACACAGCTTACGGAAAAATTTACAGATCTGGAATGTCACAGTAGAAGGCAAAATTTGTGAATCTTTAATGTCAAAGAAGGCAAGGAGGATGGGCACAAAACAAAGGACTTTATCGCGCACCTGCTCAAGAACATGCTCTCTCTGGAAACTTTACTTTTGGTTAACTGTGCTCACAGATCCTTGAGGAATCACTCCAATAGCACTCCATATCCCCGGGCATTTGTTGTCAAGATGCATTATTGTCACAAGTGGCAGGACATCATCCGAAAAGCAGTACATCTAAAAACCATCACTTTCAGGGGAGAAAAGCTTTTAATATTTCCAGACCTCCCACTAGCCATACTGAAATAGCGTGCCCGTTTCAGAAAAGTGAAAACTATGCTGCGAAATCAACCAGGCGTCCGTTTCGGATTTTTGTACCCATCGAAATTATGGGTCACACATAATGAAGAAGAAAAATACTTTGCTGACCTTGCCAAAGCGATTAAATATTCAGAACAGCATTTCGGTGAGGGTAACATGCCATAATACACTTGGAGACGGTGCAAACAATGCAATGCTGATCGGTAATGCTGTGCTTTTCTACCTTAAACATACTTTTTTTATGCTACCTTTTTTCATAATGTTTAAAAACTTTGCGAATTGGACTTTTAAAAATCGAGCTGTTTACACGTGCAGACGAACATTCATTATAACCAAAGGAACTGTTCACTAAGCTCCTGTTAGTCAGCTAAGGCCAGTTGGGCATGTCTTATATCAAGTTTGTTTTATGAAATTCTGTTTCGATGTATACTCAAACCTGGACTTTCAGGTATGTTTTTGTTTTGTCTTTTTCTATTTTTTTATGTTTTCATAGTTATTTTTGTTATGATAAGAAACTTTGGGAGGGGATGGCAAATTGGGTTCCGTCTGGGGGTGCATACTTGGGGAAGTGGATAGAAAAATAGACACTGGATGGGATGGCAGCTGCTCTGAAACCTTGTTTACACTAATGCATTTTAGTTTTAAAACGCATAAGTTTTGATACGGTTATGCCACCCGTCTACACAAGGCCGGAGTTTTCGAATGCCGAAAACAGAGCGTTTTGGAAACGCTGAAGAGGCCGTTTTCATTCTAAAACACTGCTGCTCCGTCTCAGTGTGGATGGGGGAAAATGGAGACATCTGAAAAT